AGCATCATTTTGCACAGGAATACCTTTCAATGCCTGGAGGCGAATAGCGTCACTTGGATTGAATTGCTCAAGTTGCGAAGTATGAACGGAATATAATGGACAGCGTTCATTTACCTGAATTCCGAAGATGCCTTAGCTTTTCTAAATCTCATTCATTTCATGTTGTCTTGCCATTGTCGTTGTTCCATCGGATCTTGCTTGTTTAGATGTTATTCATTACTGCCCGCAACTCTTGAGTTAATGGTTAAATTTTTCGACACTGGTGATGAACAACTTGCTCAGCTTACTTATCAGGTATGCAGTAGCTTTCACGTTAGGTGGCATTCAAGATCGAGATGAGTGTATGACGCTAATCCTCTTTTCATAATGCAGATTTTGGCCCGCCTCATTGAAAGGAGTGTTCAAGACAATGAAGAATGTGCAAAGTGTCTTCTCTCTTTGCTGGATCGCGCCCTGAACGTTCATTCCACGACCGTATGGAAATATGTCTTGAGGTGAAGCGTCTTACTTTTGAGTACATGCTTGTGCCGTTTTGTCATGTTACGTGTTCAGATCACAAATGCGGCTTTATGAAAGTGCTGGTGCCGGAATCATAGGAGAAGAATTTGAAAAGGCAATGAAGACATTAGCGTTATTGCGTGAAAGCGATGAGTGTTTCTGTAAACAGGAACTCGACTTTGTAAGTACTTTCCATTACTTTACTTCTGGTTATTCATTTCTTTGAGTCGTGGTCAGTTCACGTCGTACATTCGGAAATCCTTAGCGAGGTGGGTCGTATTTGGTTGCTGGGAGTAGACATGGAGATCGTAGTTTTTCGCGAGACATGTTTTTGGCACTATTTACCCTTCACTGCCCCAATCATCCGAAATCAAGCCAGTTTTTGACCGACTTTTTTCTCCGTGGACAGATTTGGCTCAAATGTTGTCTTCTGGGGTAGTTTGACCTCCTGAATACGAATATCACATTCGCTCAGCCCGAAACTTCCTGGCGCCCGCGCCACAGGCGCCGGTGATTTGGGGTATTTTGGCGCCGGCGCCTGTAGCGCGAGCGCCAGGAGGTTCCGTGCCGAGCGGATGTCAATTTCGTGGAGGTCAAACTACCCGTGGAACAAGTTTTCAGCGAATTTGGTGATTTAGGGTATTTTGGCGCCGGCGCCTGTGGCGCGGGCGCCAGGAGGTTTCGCGCCGAGCGGATGTTATTCATATTCAGGAGGTCAAACTACCCCAGGAGACAAATTTTTAGCCAATTCCGTTCATGGAGAAAAAAGTCGGTCAAAAACTGGCCAGATTTGATTGGGGCAGTAGAGCGTGAATAGTGCCATGTTTTCTGTTGTTGACTCGCTCGGTTTTTCCTTTTTAAGTGCTTTATACGCTCTACTCCCCCGCTCAACGGCAGTCTTCTTTGGGAAAAAGAGGTTCTCGGGAGGAACTCCCGGGAAAGGGGGTCATACCGGAGTGAGAAATTCTAAAGGACGTGTCTTGCACAAAATTTTCCGTTGTGAAGGAAATTTCCGGCTGTAGTAGTGCGACGGCACTCATTTGCACTCGAATTTTCGATTCTTTCTTCACCATTCTTATCGTTTAGACCGTTGGTTGTGCTGTGCGCCATGTTGGCGCTCCTGCTGTGTTGTCAGTGATACCGCTTGGCATTGACGCGGATGCTGCCATTCTCAACACTGAATTCACTCGATCATGGCTAATTCCTGTTTTACGTGTGAATTTGCACAACGCTCCTTTGGCATATTTCTCATCTCATATCCTACCTCTCGCCATGAAAATTTACAGGTATTTTCCTCTTGCCTTTCCTTCCTTTTGCTATTTCCCATTTGATATTTACCCCAATTTATTGTCCTCAGATTTCTTTTTATTCTTCTCTTTTTATTATTATCCCCAATATTTACCTCAATTGACCCCAATTTATTTATTTGGGGTATTCCTACGGGATGGCTCAAAAAATCGTATCCGTAAATTTGTATTGATTGTTGTATATGAGTGGCGCGAACAGTATTGTTATTTGGGGGCGTACTGGAGCAGAAGGAGCCTGTCTTGGGAAGAGTGGGCAAAAACCAGTACACTAAAATTTTAATGAAAATGTGAACATACCAGCGTGGTTCATTGTTGTCAAATTTACTTTTACAGACGTCTCGGGTCATTGGATCCTGTGCCACAGCGCTTGTACATGACATTGCAGTTACAGTTGTGGGAGCTGTTGCCGTCGTTCTGCGATTCTCCATGTGATTTGGAGAAATCTTTTCCTCAAGTTGGCTCCTGTGAGTTTGAGACTCAAATCGGTTTTTGCCCTCCTTCGATGTGTTTGCATTTTGATGAAGAAACCAATTCAGGTACTTGGTGCGGCAATTAATGAGAGAAAGGACCTAAGACCACAGATACTCTCTGCTTTGCGACGGGTGCTGCGTTTTGCTCTCATGCCAGACGCACCCCCGGAACGAATTGAAGTAAGCCCTAAATGCTTTACATTAGCGTGAAAAATGGCTTGTCACTTTCGTAAAAAGCAAAAGTTAGCCTAGAAAACAACACTGTTGCCTTGTAGGTTGTGAGCTCTTACGCAAAGAACTTCATGCCGCTACTGTTCAATTTATACACTGCAAATGCTGGAGATGATCAAGATGATAAGGGTGTACGGTAGGTCGATAGGAACAGTTTCTGATCACTTCATATATTTTATTTGCGGGTTTTTACCTGAAACATTCGGTCCTGTAATAACCAAACTATCCATTCTGCTGTTAGTTGCTTCCGTAGCAGAGACTTTTGGAAGTACTGTTCCTCACCCTGGTATGTGACTTTCACTCCGGTATGTGACTGTTGTTTACAGGATACTTGACCGTCGTTAAATTATCGTCGGGTGGGGAAGGGGCGTATTTGGTCATTGGGATATTGTGGTC